CTGGCCTATACCCCAGCTCTTGTGTGCATAAATAAATATTTTTTTAAATGAGAACAGGGGTACAGGCCAGATGTGCGGGAGGGTGAGAGGATTCACCAGAGACAGAGGGGGAACAGAACAGGCAGACTGACTGAAATACACTGCTGAGGGGAGTAGCAGTGAGACAGGAAAGGTCTGTGGGTAGCTCCCTGGATCAAACCAGTGCTGCAGAGGCTGCAGATAGCTTCAGAGCGCTGTGCTTAACCTCTTGAACCACCAGGGAGGCCCAGATCTGCCTGTTCTGCTCACCACTCTCTCTGGTGAATCCTCTCACTCCTGTCCCACCCCCGCACCTCTGGTCTACACCCCTGCTCTTGAATGCATAAATAAATAAATAAATAAATCTTAAATAAAATAAATATTTAAAAAAATGTTAAAAAAAGGAAAAGGCATTCTGATCCTCCCTCTCCAGCCTCAGGCCACCTGCCACATCTCCTCCTTCAGGAAAAACTCCAACTAGATTTACATTAGGCTCAGGTCTTTGACTGTTCCACAGGGTTGTTTGTCTGTGGGATTCAATAGAGACACAATACCTCCCATTGGATTACCCATTCTTCGCTGCTACTCTTCCTTCAAATCTCGATGAAAATGTCACCTCCTCTGGGAAGCCTTCCCAGATATTCACAGGTAGCACTAACTACTATCCTCTATCCCTGTACACTTCCCAAATACATCACTGTGACCCTGAATGTCTTTCTTTGCTTAAGTGTTTCTGCCCCACTAGACCATGAGGGATTTACATTTTATTCATTTCACATTCCAAACTTTTATCAGGGCTGATAAAGTCCTGCAAAATATGGCCCCCACCCACCTCTCCACCCTGTCTTGTACCACTATCTGCTCCACCCAGTTCACCTAGTCACATTAGCCTTCAGACACTCCCAAGATCACTGAACTCCTTCCTGATTCTGGGTCTTTGCTCCTGCAGTGATTTTTTGCCAGAATGCCCTCTCCTAGATCTTTCTGTGTCTGGTCCCTCTTGACATTCAGATTTTTGCTCAAATGTCTTGAAGAGTCCTTTCCTGGCCAACCAATCAAAAGTAATTTTCCTTTACCATGACTCTCTCATAATGCCATATTTTCTCCCCTCTGTAGCACTAATTACAAGATATCATCAAGTTACTTTAAAATCAACCTTACTAAGGTCTAATTTGTGTACCATAAAAAGCATCTACTTAAGGTGCAGAGTTAGATGAGTTTTGACAAATATCGTGTATCCACCACTCAAGATAGAGAATAGTTCAGAACCTGTAAAATTTTCCTGTGACTTCTTTCAGGCCAATATCCCCCTCCTGTAACAGGGTGGTCCCCAGGAAAGGGGGAGGTTCCATGTTCCCTGCCCCACCCAAGGAAGGGTGGAGCTGAGCAGGAAGAGGAGAAGCTGGAGAAGAGACTAAGGAAGGAAGCAGGATGGAGCCAGGAGACCTAGAGGAGGCGCATGGAGCCTAGAGACACGTGAAGAAACTGCGCTTGTCTTTTGGTCGTGGACTGGGTGACACAGATGTGGGTGAGACCCGTGGGGAGGTGACCATGGCAGCTTTTATCTTGATGTTGATTTTGCTCTTTTCCTTCCGGGCTTGTCCGGTTGTTTGTGACCCTTTGCTGTGGGTCCCCACTGGAAGATGCTTTAGACTTGTGGCAGGCTTTGGGGCCTTGTTCTGGGCCGATCCCATATGGATGGACTTTTACCCACGAGGGGATGGGTAACTTTGGGTGCTTCATTTAGAAACTAGACTCTTTGCCTTACCTGTGTTGTTTCCTAGTTTAATTAAAGTTCCTTCCCATTAAAGTCTCCTATGTTTTGTGTTGATGCGGCGGATGGCAGAACCCATTTAGAATAGGCAGGTTTGCGGGGCTTGGGCTGCCCCTCTCCCTGTCCTATCACACTCCCACGATCAACCCAAGTCAATAACTGCTCTACTCTCTGTTCCCATAGCTTAGTTTTCCTTGTTCTAGAACTTCATTTAAATGTTATCACACAGAATGTACTCTTCTGTCTGGCTTCTCTTAGCATAATGCTTTGGGGGTTCATTCAGGGTGTAGCTTTTGTAAGTAGCTGTTTCTTTTTGCTGGGGAGTAAACTATTATAAGGATACCACTGTCTATTTGCCTGTTGATGGACATCTAAAGTGTTCCAATTTGGGGTTATTATGAATAAAACCGCTTTGACAATTCACAGGCAAGTCTTTATGTGGACACACACTTTTATTTTTTGAGATAAATACCTATCATGGGGAGAGCCGGGCACACGGTAAGTGTATGTTTCACCTTATAAAATACTGCAAAATTTTTTTAAAAGTGTAATTGTTAGGGGGAAATGATGTCCTGAGTTAATCCCATACAGGCTTTGTGGACCCCACCCCCACTCCAGACTAAAGCCATCAAGACTCTGGGAAAGACAAATCCCATCACCACCAAGGGAGGGTGGCTGGGACCTGAGGGTGGAGTTGGGCAGCCAGGTTGGATATAAAAAACCAAACACGTGGGCCTTGGGCGCTCTCTGGCTCGCGATCGCTCGCCTCCTGGCTTCACTGCTCCTGGCTGGCGGCCAACTCTGAGAGCGCCATTTTGGGATTCCTGATCGGCGGATTGGGTAGGACGCATTTAAAACTTTGTCTCCCACTTTTCTCCCAGAGCTGTACATTTCCTCATTTCCCCTTCCCTTGTAAATAAACCTTTTATTAACCTTTCACGTGTGCCTGCAGTAGAGCATTGATAAGTCCTTTTAAGCGCGCGGGTGAGGACCCACAGTCAGGCACCCCGTTTTGTATCAGGGTTGCTCTACAACATATTTCCATTTCACACTCCTGCTGGCAATGTAGGAGAGCTCCAGTTGCTCCACATCCTCACCCACACAAGATTCTTTGAACTTTGAGCCATCTTAACAGGTGTATGTGCTTCCTCATTATGGTTTTAATTTACATTTCCCTTACAGTTCAATGACTTATGACAGCATTTCATGTGCTTATTAGATATCTGCTTATCTTCTCTTTGAAATATATGTTGAAATCTTTTGCTCATATTTTCATTTGGCTATTTGTCTTGTTGAGTTATAATGTCTTCACATGTTCTAGATACAAATTCTCTGTCAAAAGACATAATGCAAAATGTTCTTCTAGCCCATGATTTACTTTTCATGTTAATGCTGTCATTTGTCCCCCTTTTATGAGGGACTTTGCCTACTCCCAAAGTCATGAAGATGTTCTAAATTTTCTTCTAGAAGTTTTATACATATATATTTTTATTTATTTCTAAGATTTATTTTATTTATTTATGCATACAAGAGTGGGGTGTAGGCTAGAGGTACAGGGGGGATGAGAGGATTCACCAGAGACATAGTGGGGGACAGAACAGGAGGATTGACTGAAATACACTGCTGAGCGGAGCAGAGTGTGAGACAGGAGAGGTCTGCTGTGACATGTGAGTAGCATCCTGGCCAGGGATCCAACTCTTGCTGCAGCGGCTGCCCATAGCTTCAGGGTGCTGAGATTTAACCCCTTGCGCCACCAGGGAGGCCCACATACATATTTTTTAACTTAGTTCTTTGATCCATTTCAAATCTGTTGTGAAGTAGGGGTTAAGATTCATTGTTCTCTATAGTGATCTTCAGTTACTCTAGCACCATGTATTGAAAAGTCTATCTCTTCACCTGTAGATATTTAAATTTTGTTGCCTTTTATTTATTATCTGTCTCTCCCACTAGACCATGAACTCCATAGGTTTGTCCTAATTTAATCTGGGCTCTTTTCCATCTCTGCTATCTCCTTGCAGGTAGAGAAAGCAGAAAAAGGGCTCATTTGCAAGTGAATTCCAGAAAGGTGTGGGAAGGGGAAGCAGGAGGAAGGGAGAAAGTTGGTATGTCACGGGCTGGTCACTACTGGCCCCTGGGGCTCCATCTGGGAGGGATCTGCTGAAGAGCAGCATAGAGTACACCCCAGAATAGCCCACGGGCCTCAAAGAAGGGAGCACACACTTACCAACACCAGTCCCATGGGTCAGGAATGCCCCAGAGGGTTGAACTTCCTTCAACTTAACGGCTGGGTGCCTGAGTGCAGACAGAAGTGAAGCCATGGGCAGAAGGTGAGAGCCATGGGGAGCAGGTACGCCAAGGGGTCCCAGCGGCTCCCAGCTGGTTGCCATTGTGATAGCTGAGGAGAAGGTGGGCCAGAGGGATGAGGGGAGGGTCACAAGAGGTTTCTAATACATACTCTTTCAACAAATATTTATCGAGAAGTTTCCTCATGCCAAGCACCATGTTAAGCTAATATCTGCCCTTATGGGGGAGACAGGCAGTCACAAGGTGGTAATTGCCATAATATTCTATCAAGCAGAGATGAGTGCTATGAAGAAAAATGAGACAAGGGAGGACTGTGAAGCGAGCAGAGGGCTGGGGCTCACACTGACTTTCTGAGAAGCTGACATCAGACAGATGTGAGTCATGTGGACACTGAGGGCTAGAACATTCCAGAAAGAAGGACCTGCAAGTGAAAAGCCCTGAGGGACCAGTAAGCTTGGGGTATTAGAGAAATAAGGAGGGGCTGTGGCTGGATGCCAGGTAGTGGCAGAATCAGAGGAGGTCAGGAGAAAGGTTCTTCACCTCAGAAATGAGAACAAATTTTATTCTGAATGTGATGGGAACCCCTGGAGGACTTTAAGGAGAGTTGTACCTTGGTCTTGTTTATGTTCTAAACGTCAAGTGGGATCACAGCGCATGTGTTAGAATGGCTAAAATGTTTTTCCAAAATGGCAATGCCAAGTGCTGGCAGGGTGCCGAATCGACACTGTCAGAGTTTACTTTCAAGTGGTCGGGTAAATATGTGCCTGTGTATATATGTTATATTAAAATATGGCAAAACGTAAAGAATGATTGACTCCTGGTGATAGGTTTAGAGGTACTCACCATATTATTTCTTTAACTTTTTTTAATGTTGTATTTGAAAATCTTCAGAATAAAAAGGTGAAAGAAAGAAAAAGCCATGTTCTGCCAATACGTACATTGATATGGCTGGATCGCAAAAGCATCCTGTTAAGAGAAAGAAGCAGACTTCAAGGGCTGCCAAAGTAAGAATCTGTTTTGGACAAAGTGAAACTCTAGGGACAGTCCTTGCCAGAGGCTCGAGGTTGGGGAGGGGAAGATCACAGAAGAGGAAGCAGAAAATTTGGGAAGTGATGAACATATTTTATATTTTGATTGTGATGGTGGTGACGTGACTGTGTTCATCCAAACTCTTCAAACCACGCACTAAAATTGTGAATTTTATTTTATTTTTTTTAAAGATTTATTTATTTATGCATACAAGAACTGGAGTATAGGCCAGAGGTGTGGGAGGGTGAGAGGATTCACCAGAGACAGAGTGGGGAGCAGAACAGACAGACTGACTGAAATACACTGCTGAGGGGAGCAGCGGGCAAGGCAGGAGAGGTCTGCTGAGCCATGTGGGTAGCTCCCTGGCAGGGATCAAACTCGTGCTGCAGTGGCTGCCGATAGCTTCATAGTTTGCGTCTAAACCACTGCGCCAACAGGGAGGCCCCAAATTGTGAATTTTAATGTGTGGAAGTGATAGCTAGAGGGAAGAGGAAAACATCAACTGCAGAAGAATCATTAAAAAACTAGTTTTCCCAGCACAAAAGTCTTATCCTTAGACTTCTTTGTTGTGCTTCTAACATACTTGGCACCTAATAGGCACTGAATAAATATTTGCTGATGTGTCCGCCCAATAAGCCCCCCATGTGGCAGCGGCCCTCCCTGGGCCATGGCTGCCTGCTGGGCCTCGTCTTACTCACGTGGCTTTGATGCATTTCCTGCTGCATCCTCTGGAACAAGGAGGCCTTCAGTGTCCTGTATCCTGTATCTGGCGGTGGGGAGCTCTGTGGGCATCTTGGGGGACCAGCCACAGCATGCGGTAGTGGTACCTGGTTGCTGCAGGAGAGGCCCAGGGAAAGGCAGGTACCGTCCTCTGGGACACTTGTGAATCAAAATCAAACTTCCTTCTCCACGCTGCAAGACTAGCTCATTTTAAAAAGAAGGAAGAAGTCGGAGATTCCGTTTGTGAATGTAAAATGCTAAATAAACATGGCCCTGTTTCCGAACATCATCATAACTGCTGTTTGACTTTCTAAGTGCCAGGTCCCTTCACAGGCGCCGAGTTTTCCTCACAGCACTTGACCCGGTGGCCCTTATTAGAAGCCCCATGTGCAGGGAAGGAGGCTGAGGCTCAGAAAGGTGAAGTTGCTGGCCCTTGACCAGATCCTGGGGTGCTCTGACACCCAGCACTGCGCTGACCTAGTCTGCCACTGACCTTCCTCACACACCCCCTCCCAACACAGTCCCGACCCACCCCTGACAGCAGGAGCCACAGAAGTCTCTTCCTCAGTCACAGGTCACAGGGGGACGAGTGGTCGGTCGCTGCATTTAGGTCAAAGCGAGAGGGGAGAGGAGAGGTGGGGTGAAGGAAGGAAGGAAGAGGAGAACATGCAGCAAACACCAGATGCTCTTTGGAGCTTAAAAAACACACACAGGCCTGGGAACACAGATTTTTATCACAGTCTGTTAGGAGGGAGAAGAGGGTGGGGGAACAAGGGTGTGGAGGAAGATAGGGCTTCTAGCCAGACCTCAGAACTGGGACCCACCAATGGCAGAAAGATGGGGTGATGGCAAGATCACACACACGGGGTGCCAGATGCTGCACTACGTGCTCCACACACGTTACCTCAGGTCACTTTCTCAGTCCCTCTTCAGATTGAACTGCTAGCATTTTCATTCCCATGTTTAGATTAGGAGGTCGAGGTGCAGAGAGTCCATATACCAAATCACGTATTTTCATATAAACCCATGGAGTGGGATCAGGAATGACACACAAGACACTGCCGAGGGCAGTCAGTTACAGGAGGGAGAGGCGAGCGGGACCAGGGGAGCGTTAGCGCTTCACTGTATCCCGTAATACCTTCTGCCGTGAAGACGTGGCATGTGCGTACATAGTCCAAGGACGACGCCCTAGGACTCCTTAGCTAATTTGGAGTCTGTCCGACTGCAGCTCCCAGTCCTTAACCACCAGGCTGCACTGCCTTTCCAAGAGCGCCCCTGGGCACCTGCGCCGGCCCTGAGGGTGGGGAGGGAAGAGTAACCGACCTCGCCCGTGCGCGGGCCCTGCGGCTGGGAGAGGGCAGTGGGCCAGTCGTGCGTCTTGCCGGCACTCGGGAGGGCCCGGCTCTCGGCGGCCAGCTCGGGCCCGCCCACTGTCACGGAGCGGACTCGGGGCCAATCAGACCCGGGCGATGCCAAGGCACCGGGAGATGAGAGTGGCAGGAAATCAAGGTCAAGGCCTCAGACACAATGGAGCCATTGTCGGTCTCCAGTCAGTTGACTTTCAAGCAGCAGTTCCCCCTCTCCCCTCTCTCCGTCTCCTCATCCCTGCCTGCTGGGGAGTCACCCCAGCCTCCTGCTGCCTCCTTCCCAGTCGTCACCCAGACGAAGCCGCTTTCGGAGTCGGACCCCAGACGCGGGCGGCTCGGGCGCCCCTGCACGGCCGATCGCGCCCACCAGGTGGCAGCAGAGCCCCGCACTTCGGAGGCCGGGAGGCGGGAGGCGGGCGGGCGGGCCGCTCAATCCTGGATCAGGGCGGAGGGGGGCCCTGCCCTTCCTGTGTTACCCAAAAAACCAAGTCAGATCACACTTCCCCTCGCTTTTTACTGGGGTCACCCGGATCTGGAACCTCAGAGCCCCCTCCCTCAACAAGCGGCAAAATGGCCGTGGTCTGCGACACACTGGAGAGGAAAGCCGGGGCCAGGGAAGCCTTATCACTCCTTGAGTCACGGGGGCGGAACCTGCCTGCTTCTCTGCGTGCACGAATCAGTTGGCCGATCGATTGGTTACGTCCGTGCAGAAATGTCATCCTCTTCGAAAGACGGGCCCTGACACCACCCACCCGTCACCCCGCGCTCCACGGACCCGGCAGTTTTCTTCTGCTGGGTCCCAATTTTGAGTTGGACACGCATCTCCTCCACTAGAACGTATGCTCCGGGGGAGCAAGGGCTGGGGCCGCTTTTGCTCACCAGTCCTCCTCAGCGCCTAGCGCAGGGTCCCACGCCGGCCAGCGTTCACTGCACGTCAACGGTGTAAACCCCAGAGCGCCCTGCTGAGCCCCGCGGGAGGGTCAGGGCGTCTGTGCCGCTGCCTGTGTCTAGGCGCCCGGTCGGATGGCGCCTGCCCCAGACCATCGGCCTGTGGCCTGTCCGGGCACAAGACCACTGCTGGTTCTGGATCTGACCACCAGGCTTCACCACCTCACCTGTGCCCAGCACATACAAAGCAACTTGGCACAGGTCACTTCTGAGTTTCCAGGTCCTCACCTGTAAAATGGGGATGAAAATGACCCCTGCCTCCTCAGGCCACCCAGGCTTCTGAGGGAGAACGCTTGGCAGGGTAAGCACTCAGTGAAAATGAGCCAGTATTATGCCTGCTGTTGTGGTTATTGGGGAAAGGAGCTTTCCAGAGCCCCACGCAGGGGCTGGGCTGAGAGGTCACTTCCTTGGGTACCTGCCCCTCCGTGGTTCAGACTTGTCTGTGAACTGTCCAGGACGTTGAAGCTGGCAGGGGCCCTGTCCCTCTCCCTGGGCGGCAGGTCTTATAGCCCCTGGTCAGGGTCTGATGGGCTTCTGTGCCAGTGTCTCCTGGGGACACCCTCTGGCTGCCTCTTAATGTCCCTGGCCCAGGCCAGCTCTTGTTTCACACACACATATGTCAGGCCCTGTGCCAGGCCTTGGGGACAGTGGTGAGCAAAGCCATCTTGTCTTTGCCCTCAAGAAGCACCCGGACCTGCAGGGGAGAAGAGGGGAGCTGGTGATGGAAGCCACACAAAAGGGAGTGCATACTTTCCACCGACAGGGGACAGGCCAGGGCCTGGCCTCAGCCATTCCCTCAGGAAGTGACCTGTGGGCTGGGAGCTGAAGGTTAGGGAGAAGAGCTGGCCAAGAACAGCTTCCCTTCGAATAGCCCCTCGATGACCTAATGGAACCATGGGTCCTTCCTGGGCCAGGCAAGGGGCAGAGGGGAAGTTAAAAACAAATACCCCCCAAGCACGCCAGTTCCTCCTGAGATCTGCTGCCCTCACTGCATCCTCTCCCCCGCCCCCCCTACTGTCTGTGCCCCAGCCCTGGGGTTGAAGGAAGTCCCCTTCAGGGAGGTGGCCTGGAGAAACCTGCCATGGGTTCCAAAAGGTCTAAAGAGAGCCCCTGGGCAGCACCCTGGCCCCCACCAATGTCATCATTCTGGTTCGCTATCAGGGAGACTTGAAGCACCTTTGCAAAGTGAGGTTTGGGGTGAGTCAGTGTCCCCCTGCCCAAGCACACCGGACCTGCAGGGTGTGGCACAGCAGGGAGCCTCGGATCTGGCCCTAGGCGGCCAGGGGCCTGGCTCTGTGGCTTGCCCGCTTTGGCAAATTACTTAACCTTAGCCTCAGTTTCCTTTCCTATAAAATGGGGGTAATAATAGTAGCACAACCTCACAGAGAGGGTGTGGAGGATTTAGCTAGTCGATACACAAAACACCCTGGCACATAGTGAACGCTTAATAGACATTAGTGTTACTATTATATGCCCTCCTTTATCAAAAGTTCCTGCCAGTTTGAAGATAAGGAACTTGAGACCCCGAGGGGTTCAGTTACTTGCTTAGGGTCCCAGGATTCAAACCCAGGTTGCCTTGAGGGTTGTAGGGGTGTTGCCAGGTGCCCCAGACCTGGTGGGGTCAGAGCAGGTAGGAGTGGGGAGGCAGGAGAGACGCACCCAGGGAAGGTGGATGCCAAGTCCACTGTGGAGCCTGACCCACAAATCTCTGCTCACCTGTACCCACCAGGATTTTGTGGCACCCCTCACCTATCGCCTTGTGGGCTGGTCCCCCCTATTCTCCTACCAAATGCAGGACTGACAACTCACAAAGTGGCCATGGTGTGCGGGAGGCAATGCTGGCCGGCTATTCCCAGCCACGGTGCACGAGTCAGGTCCCCCCCATGTGACCCCTCGCCATGAAATACCCGAGCAGCTCTCATTTTTGAGACGATGGAACTAAGGAGTCAAGGGTGTGGCAAGGGGAATTACAGGTAGAGGAGCAGTAAAACCTTCCTGAGCCCCTTCTGCCACATCCCTTGCCCTAGAAGGGGGCCTGGGAGCTGGGGTGGAACTGGGCAGGAGGAGGAAGAGGCCTGCTGGGCTGCAGAGTGTAGAAAATGCTCCCCACAAGGCCGTGGATTTGGGGTGAGCCGGCGTGGTGGAGGAAGGCCAGTGTCAGTCCTCTGCAGGCTCTGGAGTCAGTTTGAGTCGACTGTCACTGAGTGACTTTGGGACGTCACTTAACTTCCTTGAGCCTCAGCTGCCGCATCTATAAACGGAGCTGATGGAACTCTCATGAGGTGTGTGAATGGAAACGCATGAGCACAGCACAGCCACCCAACCCACCCTCAACACATGATCATTTTTGCTGCCGGGCTGCCGTGCTGTTACTGTCGGCGATGCCGTCGGCTGAGATGAGGCCACATGAGGTGTGGCCAGCCCAGGAGAGCTGGTCAGCTGGGGGTGGGGGTGTTTTGGCGGGGGCTGTTCTTTGGGCCTGCCACAGGAAATTCAGAGGTCCTGGAAGGGAGAGTCCCCTCTCCCAGCTCTCACCCCCACCCCTTACCAGAATCCAGGTGCCCTGGGCAGCCGGTGAGGTGGGCTGGGGAGCTCCGTCGCCTGAGGCAGCCTCATTTCCTCTCCTTTCCTCATTGCTTCTGTCTTTAATTTTTGCCACCGCCAGAAACCTGCTTCCCTGCGGGGAGGGGCTGGGTCGGTGGGGACTAGGGGCTGGGGAGTCGAGAGGGTGCGCTCTCCAGTGTGTAAGCCGGGAAATGGCCATTTCTATCTTTTTCATCTCAGGCTGAAGGTGGAGACATTAGGGGTATATTTAAAACATCTATCCCTGCTCCCGGCCACCCCCTTAAGAGAAGAGCTGCCTTCTGAAGCATGATGTAGTTGGCACAATGAAAGAATAGCAGCGTTAAAAACAAATAAAAACAATTAACCGACAGCAGGCTGCATGCCATCCAGTTGGCCCTCCAACACCCCATTTCCAGGGCTTGGGGGCTGTTGCCCCCTGTCTTGCCTGTGTCCTCTCCTCCTGCCAAAAGCAAGCTGTGTAGGTCTGGGGGAGGACAGCAGGCAAGCTGGGGCTCCGCCTGGGGCTGAATCTTGCTCCTTTGTCCTCCCCAGAAAGGATCCCCGGAGACCAGGATCACGCAAGTCCTGTTTCTCAGGCAGGATCTCCCAGCTCCTTCGCAGGTGGGGTCTCTGGCTCCATTTCCATCCTCCTCCCCTCCGTCTCAGCCTAGTCCCCTCCCGGCCTCCAGGGGTTTAGAGAGGGAGAAATTCTGGCCTCCAGCCTTCAGAGGGTCTGGAGAAATCTCTGGGGACTGGCAGCCCCCTCTCAGGCCTGGTGGTGGGAAGGCAAGCAGGCCCGGGTGGAGGTTGCCCAGCACATGGGACCTCTGGATCTCTCCATGGGAGTTTCGATTGGGCTGGAATGTTCCCGGTCTGGTTGGTAGACGTGTCGCCAGGAGACTGTGGGAGGGTGTTTGGCTGTCAGGTTTCTCAGGTTTGGACACCCACAGGCCCTGCCACTAAGGGTCCGGTATCCTGGCAGGCCCACCACAGGCCTCTCCTCTTGCCTCTGCCTGCCTCACCCCCATTTCTCAGCAGCCCCATTTTTTAGCATCCCTGCGTCATGCCCATAATGGATCCCCTCTGCCCCACCACCTTCTCAGGCCAGGCTGGCTGGCCGCTGAGGGTACCACGTGTCCTGGTTTGACCTCGTTCGGCTCATGCTGTCTCCAGGGGACTTGCCTCTAGCGCAGCTATCCCTTCTCAGCACCCCACCTGCCTGAGGACAGGGACAGCCCTGTCACTGGGCCCTGGGCACAGGGCCTGCCTGTGGGGGTGCTTGGCTGGTATCTGTCAGTGAGTGGGAGATCACTTGTGGCTTTAAGTTTACCATGAATGTGGGGGTGGGAGCAGGTCAATGCCTCCCCCACACCTGAGGCTGCCTCTTCCCTCCCTAAGGCCAGGCTTTCAGGC